CGGCAATGGGGTCACTGGGGGCGGGTATTCGCTCTACATATACATACGCGCCTATGTCTAGGAAAAGAGTGGCAAGCAGCCTAATCCTGTGCGTGACCAACAGGTATTTTCGGCGCTAAGAGTGCTGGAGGAGATTGGCTGAAATACAGGGTGCCGTGCCGCCGCCGGGGCTGGGAGCTGGCAGAGGCTGCCCCGAACAGAGGGAGCGGTGGGAAGCAGGGCAGGAGGAGGAGGAGGATGTCGGCGCTCAGCGCGTTGCCTTTCCTGAAGCCCGTTCACCTGAGGTCCCCCCGGAGCTCGCCCAGGGGCCAGCGCCGCCACACGCTGCCCGCCAGCGAGTTCCGCTGCCTCAGCCCCGAGGACGCCGTCAGCGTGTTCGAGATCGAGCGGGAAGGTAAGGGGCTGCCCGGGGAGGTCCTGCCTGCTGGCACCAGCTGGAGAGGCCCCGGCCCTTCCCTCCACAGGTCCCCCGTGCTCCTTGGGGCGCACCGTGGTGGCAAACCCCCCATGCACGCCCTTGTGGGTGGCGAGGGAGGGAGCCGGCGGCCACGACCTGTGGCCAGGCCACCACGGGCTCCCTAACGAGGCGGGGGAGGCTGCGATTAAGGAGCTGCCCCAGCTGCCTGGGGTGGGGATGGTGGGAGGCGATCCCGGAGCAGGACCAAGCGAGTGGGGAGCAGCTCTCCCAAAACAGCCCTGCCAGAGGCGAGCAGCCAGGAGAGGGGGAAGGTGGGAGGAAGGGTATCGTGCTCACTGTGGCCAGGCCACCACGGGCTCCCTAACGAGGCGGGGGAGGCTGCGATTAAGGAGCTGCCCCAGCTGCCTGGGGTGGGGATGGTGGGAGGCGATCCCGGAGCAGGACCAAGCGAGTGGGGAGCAGCTCTCCCAAAACAGCCCTGCCAGAGGCGAGCAGCCAGGAGAGGGGGAAGGTGGGAGGAAGGGTATCGTGCTCAGCCTCCGATTGCCCAGGGGCACTTTGAGATGCACCCCCGGCAGCCCCCCCCCTCCCCT